TGGACAATAGCTCCACATCTGGATTAAAACACAAGTAAGAACTTTGGGCTTTTTTTATTGTTAAAAACTAAACTAAAAAAAAGTATTGATAATAGACAAATTTAAGCTCATATATTAAAGCAGTCACCCCATTTTGCTACGCTTTTTTTTTTTTTTTGTGGGCTCACTTAAAAAGTAACATAGCCAAATGGAAATTTTAGCAGTTGGTCTTGTTTAGTCTGAAAAAGTACAGTGCCTATCTGGGTATTGGAAAACCTTTGCAGAAAAGCTTCTTTATCTCAACATTTTCACTTCCTGGTTAAATAAAAAGTTAGACTCCCCTTTCCCGCTTTCCTCAATTCCACCTCTATCCACTCCTGTATAACTTTAAACTGCACAAGAAGACCGTTTCCTCATAAATCGAAACAATGGCTTTCTGACAAGAGAACCAAAGTCAAGAAATTATACCTCCTTTACAGATTTTAGGAGTTAACTTCATCTACTCTCTGTTTGACTAATGTATCTTTCGCAGGCTTGTTGAAATTGAACTTTGATTGCTTTGTTCGTTAAAGCAAGTCCCAAACACCCCAAGCTGTATTTTTTGTGAGAGTTGAATGATTGTGAACCTTTTTCTTTTTACCTCACCAGCATTAGCAAATATCTCATCCACAAATCTGGAACTCTGAGACCTTTTCTGTGTAGTTGCTGTACCTATCGGACAACAGTCTTTGGCCTCTGGAGGAGTCATTTTATGAAAAAGCATAATGGTAAGAACTCATTTGTAAGATCACCAGTGGTATCTTATGAGCATTAAGTGTCAAATGCATTGTCTTTGATCTGCGAACGTTGATTTCAAAATCACCAGAATTTTTAAAATTAGTCTTTTGTTGTAGATTATTAGCATAAGTTTTCTGTATGCTGGATTTGGTCAAGTTAATATGAGTTGTCACAGGTGCATTTTATATTAGAAGCTGACTTTAACTGTTCAGACTGGGATGGTTTTGGCTTAGTTTTAAAGACAGCCACATCTTTCACAAGAAGGGGTTTGAGAGATTTCGTGTGGCTTTATGTCTGCGTTTATGTCTTTCCTTTTTCATTTGGTTATTCTTTTGCTGAATGCTTAGATCTCATCATGGCTGCAGCTGAGACTGAAGACAAAGATGAGAGTGAAGAGAGGTTTAAGGAGTCCTCTAATTCATCAGAGAAAATGAACAGCTTGCCTGAAATTGATGAGCGACCTGAACTGATTAAAGGCAAGTCATATCTCATGTTTTTTTGTGTGTGTGTGTGTGTGTGTTTGTTTTTTAAACTTGGTCTTGGTTTTCATAAAACAAACAGCTTTTGGTTTTGTAGCAGTACTAACAGACTGTGGGTCCTTGAAACTTTGACAGGATCTCTGTACTTGGAGCCCCCAGATGTGCGGCGCCAGTTAAACCACTACACCATGATGGCACAGAGCAGCATCAAATCTAAAATGAACGTGCAACTTTCAAAATTACCTGAGAACAGCGTGCTTCACTGTGAGTTCTGCAATTTCAGCACTGGACACCTGTCTAGTATCCGGCGGCACTGCCTAAATTGGCATGGAAAGAAAATCCTCAGATGTAAAGACTGCAACTTTTTCACAGGTTTAAGGTAAGGTGCTGTAAGAGTTTGTAGTTTTGTGTGTACAAAAGATTTTTGGCTTCTTTTTTTCTTTAATAAAATTTAGTGTGTTCTAAAAATCTGCAAATTATAATTGATACTTTTAATTCTGCATCATCACAGATGCGCAGGATCTGACTAGTTTCTATAGTCAGGTGACATAATGCATTCCTGGTTTGCCTCAAGGAGGAGACACAAATCCCTTTGGGGTGGCATCGGGAAGAGAACCTGGCATAAAAGTGTGCTAAATCAAACATGCCGCGCTATCTGCTGTTTGGACCCTTTTTGAAGAAGAAGCTTGTTTTATTCAAATTTAGACATTGTTGTCAATTATTTTAAATGTATGGAAATAACTTGGATGAGTTTTATGAGGTATTTGACTTGACAGACATCTTGAATTTGTCATTTCTACTCATTACTCAACACGAGTTGTCACCAAACACCGACAGATTTGCAATGTTATCACTGATTTCTCCTGTTGTCATTAGGAAAACTCTGGAAATGCACATGGAGACGGGTCACTCTACCTGCCAGTCAAAGCCTACTCATCAGAAGGACCTCTGCTGCCCTTTCTGTCTGTACCAAACTAAGAACAAGAACAACATGATTGATCACATTGTCTTGCATCGTGGTATGTTGGAGCATTTGCAGGATTTGTAGGAACGTGTTCTGCTTTCCGATACCTGACGCTGTCACACAAGCATTCCCTTTTTTCCTTTTTTTTTTTCTTTACAGAGGAACGTGTAGTGCCAATAGAGGTTCGTCGCCCCAAACTGTCACGTTACCCAGGCCATCCCTAAAATGTCTACGTGGCAGCCAGAAACTCTTTGCCATGATGGGCACGATGACATAAACCAAGGTGGTTGTATTTCGCTGCCCGGTTTGATTGACAATGAGCGATAGCAGGCGGATTCGCCGTGCTCCTTGAATTCTTGTAAAACGTTGTTTAACATCTGACGGTGCTCTTCACTCTGTAACCATGAAGATTTAGAAAATCAAGAGAAAATGAAGTTGAATGAAGAATGAAGTTATTTAAGCCTATAAAAAATGTAAACAGCAATTAGATGTCAGACGTCAACATGTCTGATATTTGAAGGGAGTAGCCAACGAAAGAGAGTGGGAGCATACATCCTAAAAATATGAATAGATATAAAAATGAACATAAAGAATTCATCAGAATGACATTTTTAAATGTCAACCATGCATCTTGTTTAGTAGCACTGCATCACTTTCGCAAGCTACATATAGACAGTGGACTTACTTTTGCAAAAGAATGGTTTTATTCACATATCACATTCGCTACGGAGACATTGGCACTGGGCCATTTGATTCCTTTAGTCTGAATGTTTTTGTAGTTCAAAAACTTTGCCACAAATCGGTTTAATATTGATTAAGGTTGTGTCTGTGAAGGTTCTCAGTCATCCAGGTCATTGTAGTCTAAGGAGCTTGGAAAGAAAAGCGTCTGGACTTCTTTGAGTTGCTTGAAGAGCCAACCTTTACATGGAGGAAGTGGAAAGAAAGGCTCTTGGCTCTTTAAAGGGAGAGTACCCAGCCATTGGTACAGATATGTAGATGGCACCTGGGTCAAAATCAAAAGACAAGAAGTGGAATCCTATAAAGTCAGCAAAGATGCACAGAAAAGAAGATCAGACACCAGCGAGGGAGGATAAGAAAGACAGACGCAACAACATTGTCATCCCCTATGTAGCCGGTGTATCAGAGAAACTCAAGGTTCTCTCCAAGCACAACATCCCAGTGTACTTCAGACCCAGCAACACACTCAGACAGAAACTGGTTCACCCGAAAGACAAAACTCCTAAACACAAACTTAACAACGTGATGTATGCTGTACAGTGCAGCGAGGAATGCCCAGACCTCTACATCGGCGAGACCAAACAGCCACTTCACAAGCGCATAACACAACATAGAAGAGCCACCTCCACAGGACAAGACTCAGCAGTTCATCTGCATCTAAAGGACAAAGGTCACTCTTTCGAGGATGCCAAAGTTCACATTTTGGACAGAGAATACAGATGGTTTGAAAGAGGAGTGAAAGAAGCCATTTACGTCCACTGTGAGCGAGCATCTTTGAACAGAGGCGGTGGTTTATGACACCAACTGTCTGCCATCTATAATCCAGTTTTGAGATCCCTTCCCAGATGCCTTAACGCACACTCACATCCTGGGCCATCTGACCTCAGGAAATCACATGATAGGGTGGGGCCAGGCTTCACAATGAGCTCACCCGAAACCCTGGCTGATTGTGACCCACACCCGCTTTTACACCTTGGCTCATATGATTAGGTAGAGGATCATCAGGGGGTCCTTTGTCCCTCTGTGGGGGGAAACTCCCACTGGGTTTAAATCTGGGACTCCACCATTTGACCCTTAGAACTGAAGAAGCTTCTCGGATGAGAGGTGAAACGTCTTCAAGCAACTCAAAGAAGTCCAGACGCTTTTCTTTGCAAGGTCCTTAGATTGATTAAGGTTGCACCTAATGGAGTGATGCAGTGCATATCCTACCCCAATTCCTTGGCTATTGAAAAGTGCTACATTTACGGGGATTAAACCATAATGTCAAAGATGGACATGGACAACTACTGTGACATTATCCGTTGGTTTCTGAAATTGTGTTTTGATACCCCAAGATTAGCATTTTCACCACAATCATCTTAGTTTCAAAGAATAAGATGTGGTGAGAAGGAGAGGGACTGACTGTGAAACTGCTATCTCTATGCAGTAAGCAGACAAAAGATAATCCAACATTTTTAAGCAATTTAAACATGATTTGCAAAATAGTTGTAATAATGTTTTACCACCCTGGGGCACCTCTGTCAGTGCGCCCCCGGGTTGTTGTGGCTACAATGTAGCTTGCCATCACCAGTGTGTGAATGTGTGTGTGAATGGGTGGATGACTGGATATGTAAAGCGCTTTGGAGTCCTTAGGGACTAGAAAAGAGCTATACAAATGCAGGCCATTTACCAATTTTTTTTATTCAGTATGCCTCCAAAATCAGGGACTAAGCCCATAAACTCACCACGAAAGTGTTTACCATGTCATGTCTGGCTTCCCATAAACTATAGGACTGGGAGTCTTATCTCAACCTCATAACTCCAAGTGTATTATATTGGATAAATGAGTTTTTGAGGCTTCTACATCATCAGTGCCCCACCCTCACCCCAATATAATGTGATGGAAAAGTGTATCATAATTTGGACCGTGATTCTGTCTATGCAGGTCGTGAGGAATCATGAACTCGTGGGTCAGGTGAGCCTTGATCAGCTGGAGGCAAGCGTTGGTAATGTGCCAGTAACAGAAGAAGAAGAGGAACATTTGTCTAACATGGACCAGCTCGATGAGGACAGAGAAGATGTAGAAATGGAGGACCTTTTTGCAGACTGTGATGAGGTTCCACAAGCTGAGAACCTGGAAGAAAACTATACCACAGAGAAAAGTGCACTCCAGATCAGGGAATGCCAGGAAACCAACGGAGAAAGTCCTGGCCAGACTTCCGAATCAGGCATTCAACGTGAAAATGCAAAACCAAACTCTACTGTCCAACAAGAGCTGCAAAAACAAGCGGAGCTTGTGCTGCTAGAGACTGCAAGAGAACAGGAGACAGGAAATGTGGAACAAAGTGTAAGAGAAGTGAAAATTACAGATACCCCATGTGAGGATTACGGCAATCCAGAGGAAGAGAGGCAGACAAATGAAAACCAAGCCCAACCTGAATTCAGAGAATCTGGAGACAAACAACAAATGGAGACAGGAAATGATGGAGTGGATGAAGAAACACCAGCTCAAAAGCAAGACGTTAAAGCACTTGAGCATAAAACACTGAACATTGAGGCAAAGGTAGAAGATGACATACTGCGTCATATCTTACAGTTGGCCAATGATGACAGCAAGATGCATAACAAGGCAGATGAGGGTCAAATGGTCAAGATAGAGAAGGGCACTGAGGCAAGTGATGCAAGTGATATCCCATTAGCTGAAGAGAGCAACTTCCCTTTGTTCCAGAATCCAAAGAATCAATTTGGTATAGAGGCAAATTCAGCCTTAACAAAGCTAAATGTTGCACATGTAAATAACACAAGGACAAAGGAGAGTTTAAAAATTGAAAGACATATGTTAACCCTCCCGCCCACTTGTGCACGACTTAAGATGATCACCGGCGATATTTTAGGTGTCTCGTTTACAAAATTAAAGCGGGAAGAAGTGCACACTCAGCAAAGCAGTGAACAGGAACCTAAACCTTGCACAGAAATACCAGTACTTGAGAAAGAATGTCTGAAGAAGGAAGTGCACTCTCCTGAATGCTTCAAGGAGGAAGAAGAGAACGGTCCTTTCGAGCAGAAGCAAAACCAAGAATCTGAGATGCTCACAGAAGACGAGGAACGACACCAAGATCAGGCGCCTGGTGACCACGACGGGATGAAGGATGATGATTGTCTGCAAGAGCCTGAAGGTAAAAAGAAATTATGAGTGAATTGAAATATTAGTTTTTGTGCATTTTTGCAAGCAAAACACATATTTTAAGTACACTTAAAAGTACACTCTTAAGTACACTTTAACACTTGTTTAAAGTACAGAAAAAGAGATGGTAAATGCAGATATTGGGCAACATCAATGATAGAGTTATGAAAATAAAAGTGCTCCCTCTTTGAATTGTAAGGTTTTATGTGTCAGGACTTTAGATAAGTACAATTAAAGATGAACTATTATGTCATTAATAATTTAACAAAAAATGAGCCAAAATGCAGAAGCAGTGTGGAAAAATTAAAAAAGCCATCTTTGCTGCGTCTATAGGATGTAAGAAGGTAAGTAACAGCCAGATGCTACAATCATCAGCAAGTATGGTGACCTCTATGAAAACAAATTGTCTGGCAGTTCATTGATCTGATTCACGTGTGTGATAAAACAATGCACAAGGCGAAGATGCTCAGACAAACCAAAGAAATATATGTAGAAGAGCTACATCTGAGACTCTAAAGCAGGGGTGTCAAGCTCAGATACACAGTGGGCCAAAATTCAAAACTGGAACAAAGTCGCGGGCTAACGTTAATATTTATTGAAATATATTTATTCCTCCAGATATAAGAATGAATCTTTTCTTATGGACTCAAACACGTTTTGCTGAAAAACTGAATATGGAACAAACAAAGCTTAATACTAAACAATATATATATTAGATGTATAATACCAGTAGGCCATCTCTGATAGTCATTTGGTATGGCTTCGCGGGCCAAATGTAATTAGGCTGTGGGCCAAATTTGGCCCGCGGGCCAGAGTTTGACACCTATGCTCTAAAGGGTTAAATAGCGATGTCTAGCAATACTGCAAAGCATCACATTTGGAGAAAACCAAACAGGATAACAGCACAAGCACCTTGCAGCACCTGTCAAGCAGGGTGGTGGAGGGGTGATGATTTAGGCTCGTTTCCAATCCACAGGACTGGCTGTGCTTAAATGAATGCCTGAAAACCTCAAACTGAACTGAAGCAATGTTGTAAAGACTGATAAAGTCATACAGACGATGAATGCTGTTAAGAATGGTTCTAGAAGATACTGAATATAAGGTGTACTTACTTTTTCACACACTGCTTCTGCATTTTGGCTGAGTTTCTGTTAAATAAATGTAATATTAGTAATACATATAGTGTATTACATATATACAGTGTTTTTATATTTTCTTATTATGTGCTGATATGTAAATCCTTAGAGTTGAAACAGGGTGTATTTTCTTTTTCACATGACTGTATCTTAGTGCATTCCTAATATTAATTTGAAAAATTAAATGAAAAAAAACAGGACTGTGTGTGATTACAGACAAATCTGATGATAAAAAGTGATTCAAAAGGAGATGATCTATGTGTGTGATCATTGTTTATTTAGTCGTTCAAGCAAAAAATATGAGAACTTCTCGGGTTTTTCTTAAGTTCTAAGGGTAATTTTTTACTCTTTTTCTGAGCTTTTATCGACTTTTTTGTGATAACTAACTGTAGGTAAGTATTGGGTTGTGAACATAAATAGATTTTGAGGAATCTTCGGTATGGGATAATTACGTTGTTGATTTGTTTTGTTTTGTCCCCTCCCTCAGATACAACAACAACAAAAGAACCTGCTGAAGTCCTGTGCTCCTCGCTTACAGAGCAGAAACGATTTACTTGTGAGTTCTGTGGAAGAAATTTGGTGAACAGCTCTGAACTGAAGCGTCACGTCATGCGGCATGGAATCTAACAGTCTTTTCCACGTTATTTTTATTTGGGTTTCCATCTTATGGAAAGTTCCAGTGTTGTGTTGAGTTACGCATTTTAGATTTTGTTATTCTCATATCTTATCTAACTGTACGTTTACATGTTTACGTTTCCTTTTTTTGTGCATTTTTAAACTTATTCCTATGAAATGCTTTTATGGTAAAGCTGTTAAACATAGATGTGATTCAGTAAATAAAACTTTGAACCAATATGGTGAATGTATTATGTGTGACACACTGTATTTAAAATCTTTAGAATTTTTTTTGTATTTTTTTTAAACACTAATGGATAATGGCCGTGATCAACTGTCATCAAGAGTTCATTTTTATTCCTGTAGTTTGTGCAGGGAGGTATTATTTACGAGAAGTTATTACTGTAAAATCTGCAGAAACCTCTACACTGTGAACTAATTTTACATGAAAACGTTTACATAGAGTTAAATACCACAAACTGAACCAACTTCCATAACAGAAAGTTCATTAAATGCTGCCTTCAGGTGTTGTTTGGTATTTCAACACACTTTTATTGTGTATTTTGTACTAAAAAGGAAAATAGTTGACAGTAAAATATAAGTATTTAGTTTGGTATTCCATGTTAACAAAATTTATTTTTATTTTTTTTATACTTCAATTTGTTTTGAATTTAAAGTGTGTTTGCAGCACCTGATATTTATTTTCCTCCTAGCTTAGAGTGGCGCCTTCTATGAAAGTGGTGAATTTAAACATTTTTAGTTAATTTTACCATTACAGTAGGTGTCAGAAAAGGCAGTACATCTGAAGATAGACTCGTGCACAATAGGTCATAAATGATTAATAAATGGTCCATTTTTTTTTCAATTTCTTGAACAACAGCAAAAAACGGACGCAGGCTGGACCAAGAACTAATCAGGGACATTTACAGAAGACTGAAACACAGTTCAAGTTTAAAAAGTTAATGTGTTATGAGACCACGTGTGTTCATATCCTTGTATTATAAAACATGGATGCTTTGTATTAAAAGTGTTGCCCTGTAGCAAAAATCAAATAGTGCATTAAGAAAATATAATCTGGTTACAACAATAAATGTTTGATTTCAAATGTCTTGATGTAAAGAGCAATGTGCGCATTAGCTAAATAATACTGTGCAAATGGCTTACCCACCCCTCTTTTTTTTTTTTAAATTTTGATGTGGATATAGGAAATGGGTGTAGCAAATTATAAAAATGTGAAAATAGAAATACAGTATACTGAGAAAAAAGTCTGATTGGACATTTCTGATGAGCCTGAAATTCAACACTTGGTATGGCCACCTTTTTTCATCAACACAAACTGAACTCTCTTAACCTAGCCTTGTTCCCTTGAGTGCTTCTCTTGTAATTCTTTGGATGTTTGTTGACTTTGGTTTTGTTCTCTGTCAATATAATCCCACACTGCTTCAGTAATATTAAGTTCCGGGCTCTGGGAAGGAAAATCCATGACTGACTGGGTTCAGTTGTGTGTGTGTTTTTTCTATCCCAATATTCTTTCACTGCGTGTGTTTGCGGATCAGTCTTGTGAAAAATTTTCTTATTGCCAAGCAGATGCTTTCCTACATGGTTTTCCATGTTTGATCAAAACCTTTTTAATAAGCTCCCCAACACCACTGGCTGAAATGAAACCACAAACCATGACAGCACCTCCACCATAACCTCTTCTATACATATTGACAATTTGAACTAAACATTTCACATCTGGATTCAGCCCTCTATAAGAACTTCTGTCACTGATTTTCAGCCCAGTTCTTGTGCAATTTGGCATACTGAGCATTTTCTCCCTGTTTTCTACCACTGGCTTCTTGACAGCCACTGAAACCATTTCTGATGAGGCATCAGCGAACAGAAGATGGATTGACTAAAAGGCTGTCTTTTCAGTTTTCTCAAATTTTTTTATGACACACTCTGCCACCAGTAATGGTGTTAATATGACAATACAACGTTTGGCCATGCCACTGTTTGATTATATTCCAGTCACCAAAGTGGCATTACAGCCTTACTGTTCCAATAAATTCTCTAAGCACTGCTTTGACGCACTGAATCAAAAGATTTGTCGGACCACCACAGAAAAACCTTAACGAGGGAGAAAGGCGAAAATACGAGCTTACGGGGGTCACGTGAAGGCAGCATTTTCTTGTGTTTGCGTTGGTTACGACACACTCTTGTCATCCAAATGTAAGAGGACGCCGCTTCCTGGTGTGTACTCAATAATGGACTGACTGATGAGCCAGGTCGAGGTGAACTTGTCCTCACTTTGATCTGCTACTCTGAGTCCACCGCTCTGCGCACACTGGGTAAGTTAAACGTGTTAAGGTGACATTAGAAGAAATACATAGGGAGAAAAATCGAGGGAAAAAATGCGATGCTGATAAATATTGGTCAGTACCACTGGATCCAAACCATTTACATGTAGAGAAACGCGTTTTGTGCTTTTAGATGAAGATGTTTGAAAGCACAACCTAACACATTTGTGTGTTGATGCTTTTTAAGTTCATACAAATTGAGGTGGATTTGCTCGGGTGAGGAAGGCTGCAGGAATTGTTTCCTCCTTCCTTGACCAACACGTTTTTCTCCCTCTGTTTCCTGATTACTTACTGTAAGTAGATGTGGTTAATGAAGGGTGTCGGTAATTACACGTTTACCGGTATAAACTGGTGTAAACGTTTTGTATTTTAAACCTGTCCAGTCCATGAAACGCTTCTTTTTACATACTAATAGCGTCCACATTTTTATAACCTTAACGCGAAAATACAGCTACTTAAATATTGTACCGACTTCAGGTGCATCTTTGAGTATTTAAGTGTTTTAGTATACTTCTCTAGGACACTGTAGTGATACTTACTGTAATTACCTTTGGGGTAAAAGCGACCTTCTCAGTTTTATTTCGTTTTTTAAGTTGTTGAAACCAAAATATGCAACTTAAACGATTTGATATTTGATTTGGCTCTGCTTTTTATGCTGGATGCCCTCCCCGACCCAGCCCTGGATGCTCCTGCTTATCTGAATGAATGATTATTTCTGTTTTTAACAAGTTTTCCACAGTTGGAGTAAAATGTCAGCACACTGAGTAACTGAATAAACATTATTTTACTAAATTTAACTAAATAAAAATAGATTTAAAAATACACATGGTACAGGTACTGTACCTACACATTTAAGTGATAAGACAAATAGAGACCTATTTCAGTTACAGTAATTCAGTTTATTTAAAAGGAAAAAGTACTTAAATGATGATTTTGTATGATTTGTACAAAGCAAGAAACTCAAGGAAATGTAAAGAAACTACTTCAGTTTGATCGGGATAGCCTACAATAGTAACTCTTTAAGGGTGAATTTCTTTTAAGGATGGCTCTGCTTGTTTGTGTTATTTGAGAAAAGTCACGAGGGGCATTTTAACACACTATATTAAAAGTGCTGCTCTTTGTACAGCAGGAAAAGAAACACTATCAGGTGGAAAAATGTCAGCCGTAAACAAATCCAAGGAAGATGAAGGCAACTTCTCCACAAAGGTCATCAAGATTGTGTTTATCATCCTGCTGCTGGACCTGCTGGGATTCACTCTGATTCTACCTCTGCTGCCTTCTATTTTGGATCACTATGCAGAAAGCGGGGTTGGTCTTTCATTTATTTATTTACTTATTTATAGCAGTATAATCGTGTAAAGGCACTTTTAAAATCACAGCAGATATTAAAGCGCTTTGAGTGCTCAGATGAGTAGAAAAGCGCTATATAAGAACCAGTCCAGTCCATTAAGCTGATAAGCCTGCTATACACGACAAGGAAACAGGTTAAAAGCATTAAAACTTTGAAGGTGATTCCAGCAGCCTTATTTCCTGCCAGTGATGATCAAAGGGTAACAGTGTTTACTGACGACATTTTTTTTGCAGTGTGAAAATTGTTAGATAGGATTTTTTTGAATGGAATTCCCTCAACGGACCATTTCTACATTGTGAACACATCCTCGAACAAAGATGGTTTTGTTTGAAGAATCTCCTCCATAAAAACTGTAACAAACTCATGAGTGATTTGATTCGATTAGTCCGTGGGTGAATCCGCCTGCTGAGTCATGGTGAAGCAACCACTTTGCTGGTATTTATACTATAGCTCTGTGATGCTTTGTTTGTGTGTGGGCAGGATGGTGTGTATCAGTCTCTTCAAACTGTTGTGGACTGGTTCCGGGAGGCTGTTGGGATTCCTTTGGAAAAGAAATACAACAGTGTCCTGTTTGGAGGTATATTGGATTAATTTTAAACATCAGATTTATTCAACGTTAAGGTCAACATTTTCAGTGTTGCAGGCTCATTGGTTTAATAATGCTCCTTCCCCCCCCCCCCCCCCAGGTCTGATTGGCTCACTGTTTTCTCTGCTACAGTTCCTGGCATCACCTGTAACCGGGGCTCTGTCAGATTCATATGGCCGGCGACCCCTGCTTATGCTCACCACAGTGAGGAAAACATCACTTTTTTAAGACTTTTTAAAGTTTTGTTTATCACTATTCGTTCTGTAAGAAAACACAAAGCCCTTTCTCCAGAGCTGACTCATTCACATCTAATTGGGTGCCTTGTGTTTCAGTTAGGGCTGATGTCCTCCTATGCAGTCTGGGCTGTTTCCCGGAGCTTCAGCATGTTCCTTTTGTTTCGGGTAATTGGGGGCATTTGTAAGGGCAACGTCAGCCTCTGCACTGCCATCATAGCCGACCTGCCGTGCCCGAAAGCACGGAACCGAGGAATGGTAGGCAGAAATATTTGTGGTCATTACAGGAAATGTTTTGTTGAAGTGAAATTAATTAAAATTACTTTGTGTTATATTTATACATACTTTTTTTGTTATCAGTACACTTAGCTTAGCACATGTATTGAGAATAGATAAATAAAGTGTCTTTCTGTTTTCTGTTTCCCTCTGTTGTAATCAGGCCATGATCGGCGTTGCCTTCTCCTTGGGCTTCACTGTGGGGCCTCTGATGGGCGCCTACTTTGCTATCACCTCCAAAGCAACAGGAAATGTCTTCTACCTCACTCCAGCTCTGCTCGCCCTGGCTTTCAGCACTGCCGATCTGCTCTTTATTTGGCTGATGCTGCCAGAAACATTAACAAAGGACGTCAAGGTTAGTTAGAAACACTCCTGCTAATGCAAACAGAACTAAATGCAGTTTTAAACAGTAAACATACATTTTCCAGCCATCAGTTGTGCTGTATGGATTCCCAAAACACCCTGTGGTAGAACAAGTATGAACCTTTTTCACTTAAAGTTGACCTATTATGCTACAATTGTGTAGATTTCCATGACTCACAGTTCAAAACAGTGCTCATTTATCTTACACTGGGCTTTATCTCAAACAAGAAGTCTTTAGCTCAGTTCTCCTTCCCTATTACCCAACAGCAGATGGGTTAGACCGCTTTAGTAATTGCCAGAGCTGTTTGTCTGAAATGACCATGTAAGGACATCCACCGTATTTGACAACATACTGATCTAACAGTAGAAAAAACAATGTAACCATATATTTCTATTGTGTTTACAATATGTTTCTCTAAAAATGATTGCTATGATTGAAAAATACATTTAGTTTAGTAAAAAAGTACTTTTTTCCCATGAAGAGGAAGTATCACACACCTTAAATACAAAGTACTTCAATAAGGGCCAATATCAGTACCAGTATCAGTGACTATCTGTTTTCCACTGTTTTCAATTTTTCATGCTGAGCTAAGGTAACAGGCTGCTGGGTGCTGGACCATCCTTTGCCCTCCTTTTGAACTACTTTAAATTCAACAAGGTGCTGGAAAAACTCAGTGATTTTGGTCCATACTGACAGGAGAGCACCAAACCGTTTCAGGTGGAGATTTTGTCAGGTGCACATACATGGTGGGAATTTCACTACCACCATTTCACAAAGGTGCTCTGTTAGATTGAGATCAGCTGACTTTGGAGTCCATTTGAGTGCAGTGAACTACTTTAATCAGTCATCAGAGCATGTGCACACTGTAGTAAGATTGGGATGGTCAGCAACAATACTCACTGTGTACAAAAAATTATCCCCCACACATTACACCACCACTACCAGCCTGAATCATGATATACTGCAGGATGAATCTATTCCTTCATGTTGTTTAAACCAAATTCTGACTGCCTTAGCCCACCTGCGTCAAGATTCCACATGTTGTGCATTCTTCTACGTACCTTTGTTGTAAGTGGTCATTTCAGCTACTGTTGTGCTCCTAAAAGCTCGTAGAAGTCTGGCCATTCTTCTCTGGCTTTTGGATTTCCATCCAGAGAACTGCCACTCACTGAGTAATTTGTCTTTTTTGAGCCATAGTCTGAAAACCCTAAAGATGGTTGTGTGTGAAAATCAAAGTAGATCATTCATTTCTACAATAGTCAGACCACCGCCAACAAACACCCATCCATCCATTTTCTTCCGCTTATCCTTATCAGGGTTGTGGGGTGGCTGGAGCATATTTCAGCTACCATAGGGAGAGAAGGAGGCAGGGTACACCCTGGACAGGTTGCCAATCTGACCAAGGTTTACTCATAGAGACAGACAACCACATTCACCCACCTTTGGGCAGTTCAGAACCCCACTAACTGCACGTCCTTGGACTGTGGGAGGAACCCAGAGAGAACCCACTCAAACACAGGGAGAACATTGTTAAACACAGGATATACTGATGTCCAATGTTTAGAGTATTTCCACCCTCTTTATTCCTTCTTCAACAGAAATTATATGAAAGTTTTTCAAAAAAAACCTTATGAGGTGTACTTTAAGCAATTTTTGTCATTCCACTTAACGCATGCCTGGACAGGTCTATGGCTGCTGATCCACTGTGTACACCACCTTATTAGTAAGGCGATGATTTATGTGCATGTCTGCCAGATTGAGCAACATACCTGAAACCACCAGGCGAGGAATGTTTCAAAGAGACAGTGATCATTGTTTGGATTGAACATGTCTGATTTTTCTCAGTTTTCACCTACCCACTGCAGAAAAAATACATAAATAAAATAAAATTACAAGTTCACATAATTCTTATTGTTTCTGAAGAAACAGCATTGTTTTTTCAAATCATTATTCACTGAGAGAGAGATGCAGATCATTTTTCTTGTTCCATTTTAGGCTTTGTCTTCAGGCTGTGGGGACTGCAGGGACCTGCTGCATCCATTATCCTTGTTCTATTTTGCAGCTGTTAGTAAGAAAAAAGATCAACTTTCAAGAAACGGTGAGTAGTGTATACGCTGCATTCATCTGTGATTGTCCTGTTTATAAAGAGTGAATAAACCTTAACACAGTGCTGCACTATTGGGCTGTGTTTCACAGGAATGCAAAGCCTTCGAGTGCTGGGGCTGGTTTATTTCTGCTACCTCTTCCTGTTCTCTGGTCTGGAGTTCACCTTAAGTTTTCTTACTCACCAGCGTTTCCAGTTTACAAGGTATGAACTCAAAGATAAGGCTGTGTACTCTGTTTCCCTTTTAAGTCTGACAAACAGCAACCTTATGTTTTTCTCTCTAACAGCATGGAGCAGGGAAAGATGTTCTTCTTTATTGGTGTCATCATGGCTTTAATCCAGGGTGGTTATGCTCGCAGAATAAAACCGGGGCAGCACATCAGGGCTGTTCGTATGGTAAAGTCACCAACTGCTTGCATGGCAAATACTGATCTAATGCCGTTGTTGGTGTTAATGGAACAGGATAAATCACTGCACAAATGTCTACCTTACTGAACCATTTTTCTTGTTTTTAGGCAATCATAGCATTGATCCCAGCCTTTGTAATCATTGGGTTATCGTGGAATGTAACAATGCTGTACATTGGGTTGTCACTGTATTCCTTTGGTGAGTCAAAATTACTGTATTAGAAATATGCAGTAACTCAGTTTCATCTGTCTTGTCTTGACAGCACCCAAGAATGTGTAAATAAATCTAAAAACTATGTGATAAACTACTGCCAAAATACATAACAGGACAGTACACTTAAAATAGAAGAACACTGCCAAGAACACTTTCAAGGATGCAGTAATTAAACTATTGCTTAAGAAGACTTTGCCTGATCCAGCTGTCTTAAGTAATCATAGACCAATCCCCATCCCTTCTCTTATTTCAAAAATTCTTAAATGAACAACTATAACATAGTCAAGCAGTCATTAGCAGAGGAGTGGTTTATCTGAAGAGTTTCAGTCAAATTTCAGAATGAATTATACTCATGTGGAGTTCCACAGGGTTCTGTACTGGGACCAGTTCTATTTACATTTTACATTCTTCCCTAAGAAAATCCTACGTACATTTTCATTGATATACAGATTATATGCTGCTATATTTACAGCAAATTATGTAGCTAAACCACAGATATATCTTACAGAACAAAGGCCTGGATGTCTGGAATTTTTTTTCATTCATTTTCAAAATTGAGATAAAAACTAATGTTATTATATTTGGCCCCCAAAATTTTAGAAACATTGTGTCTAACCTGATACTTAATCTGATGCAAAGTCCATAAATCTAGGCGTTGTTTTGATCAGAATATGTGTGCATATTCAAGTAGGGATCCTTTTTTTTTTTTTTAGTCTGCTCCCTAACAGGAGTGGATGATATCACTTTAGTTTAAATACTTCGTGTTATTCTTATCAAGTCGTCCTCTAACTTTTCTAAGAAGCAAAATATCAGATTGTTACTGTTTTGTATGATATTGTGCTATATAGCATTTTATTTAAATGTCCCTAAATTATAAAATTGTTCCAACGTATTATGTATCCTATTCTTACAGCGGCTGCCATAGTTGTCCCCTGCTTGTCAACTCTAGTTTCTGACCATGGTGAGCCTTTTATCAAATCAAAGTATCAAAAATATTTTGATCCTGCTATAATGTTGGTACTGTTGCTGATTACCCACTGTTGCTGATTCCTCTAGGCTCAGCCAGTCAGAAGGGCACTGTGATGGGGATTCTGCGTAGTTTGGGTGCCCTGGCCAGAGCGTTGGGCCCAGTTGTGTCCTCCTCAGGTGAGGAAACTGAAACTAAAGGATCTTTCCATAGTGCTGCTTTTCTCTTGAGATGGTGCTATTTGAATTATTTGTTATATATTCATATTTGTTTTGTTTTAACTGATTTGTTTGCAGTGTATTGGATTGCTGGAGCACAGACCTGCTTTCTTATCACATCGGCCTCCTTCGTCTTGCCCTTAGCTCTCCTGGGCATAGCCAGGAGACTAAAAGAGGAATGAGCAACTTAAAGACTTTTTAAAAAAACCTTGTGTTTCATTACCTACATCAATGCAATGATATTTGCATCTTCTGGGAAAGCAAGCACTAAATTCACAGTAATAGGATGTTTACTTTTCCACATGCTGTTGGCCAAAGATCAAAAAATGAAACAAAATGATATGAGAAGATGGTACAAATACCAAAAACGAATGAATGAACATAATGTTGTTTGTGTGTTCTTATAGACCGGTGTGTATTGTAGACTGGGTGGGTTAGAAGGAATTCCATGTGATATTAGTGCTCCTGGTACACAGATATTTTTGTAATGTTGTATTTTATTAATCACTAAGATTTTCTATTTTGCAAAGGATACTTTAGCATTAACACACATAAAACTTTTTGATGTTCTATTCTTTACTACAGAGAATAAAACATCAGACCATGGCAATGAACAGTTATCTTACTTTGAACCTTTTATATAATTTTTCTAATTCATTCTATGTGAACTACACATTAAATACTGTACTCAAGTACAGCTTTGATCAACATCTTTATGCTTTAGTATTTGGGTCTACTTAATGCTTTTGCTGCATACATTTTACTTCACAATATGTATCTAAAATACATTTTTAAAGGTAAGATATGTTTTTGATATTTTTTTAGTATATAAAAATAAAGATTACAATCTTTATTCTTGGTAAATGCAAAAAAGGGAAATTCTTCATGAGTTTTGTTTTTTAATCTGAGTTTAACTTGATTTATTCTGAGCATAGTATACACAGTTCGATGCTTTCATATCAAGAAAACTAAAATAAATGTAAAGTCCAGTTAAAACAAAGGAAAGTGTAAGCACCATCCATGAAAATCCTTACACTCCATGTACGATATGAAAGAAACTTAAATTTGATATATTATGTGTGACTTTTTAGTCAACGACTTTGTGATTCAATTGGTTTAACAGTTCAGGTTCTTAACCAGTTCTCATCATGGGGCAAAATAACATGTAAGCACAAGACCCAAACAGGTGTGGTTAGTTTTATGGCTGATTTACAAAAGTTGCGCTCGTTTCTAAGGTGCAATTATTTCATAGGCACAGTCAGTTCAGGTCAGTATGAAGTGCAAAAAGCAAGGTATACTTTTTTCAGCGTTAAATATTGACACAGTCAGCAGTTAATTGTGTGCTGAAAACATGATTCAATTCAGTTTGTACCACTGATTTAAATATTCTCCTCTACATTTTGCACCTTGAAAATGAAATGGCTCCACTAAAAGGCACTAAAAAAGAAAAAAACGCTTTTTACTCTAAAACACACATTTGCGCCACTGCAAAACATCTGGCCCCTAAAGTGTAACAGAAATTAAATCAGAGGTTCCTCAAGGGTCTGTTACTGGTCTATTACTCTTTAACCTTTACATGCTCCTCCTTGGCACTATCATAAAGAATCGCAATATATCCTATCATACTTACACAGATAGTACACAGCTGTACTTATCATTTTCTGATGATCTAACCTCTGTTCACCAACTGATGCACTGATGACATTAACAGTTGGCTGTCTAGAGACGTTTTAAACATGGAAATCCTTGTCCCTGGTCCAAAAAGTCAGAGAGAGAACATTTTTTCATATTTATCATCCCATACAGTCTCACTCTGTTTCTGTCTGGAACTTCTGCAGCATTTTGGACAGTGATCTCAGTTTTAATAATCACATCAATAAGGTCACCAGAACTGCTTTCTACCACAGATATAGTTAGAAAATCCTAATCACAAACTAACTGAGAAATTGGTCCAAGTGTTCAGCAAGTTGGACTACTGCTCTGTTTGCAGGATTATCCAAATTACTAGTAGGACAACTTCAGCTTGTCTAGAGTGCAGCGGCGAGTCCTGACATGAAAATTGGACCATATTATCCCAGTGCTAAAGTCACTTCACTGGATCCCAGCTGAATACAGAATTACATTTAAAATCCTTCTATTAGCTCATAAAGCTCTCAGTGGTTTGTATAGTACACATCTGACTTCCTCCAGTAAACTTCTAAATAGCTCAGTGTCTATTACTTAGTCGTTCTTCTCAGATTTTCAGTTGCAGATCTTTTAACTGTCTCCAGAGATAAATCTAAGTGTGCTGAGGGAGCTTTCACGTATGGTCGTGTTCTCTGGATTAAGCTGTCTACAGACCTAAATTTAATCTAATCTGTGTTCAAAAACTTTTTGTTCTCACAGGCTTACTCACAGTTCTCACAGTTAATAACTGTGTGCATGGATGTGCACTTTACTTCATTTTGTTTTCATCATAAACTTGCATAGGTGTTTTTATCTTCTGTGTAAAGCACATTGAGTTAAAGCAGGCCTATGATGAAATGTGCTATATAATTAAACCAGACATTGACTTTTGGTACTCAGAGTAAAGCTTTTTAGTTTTGTTAATTTAACAAAGTAGAAAATTTAAAGACGCAATTCTCTTTCATGAAATACTAAATAAATACACAACAATTTATTTTGGAGTTTCAAAGAAGTCCAAGCAAACTACAACAAAATATAACTAATAATGTGTTATCGTTCCAAGCAGATGTGCAAACCACTACACTACGGAGCCAGCGTCAGTAATAATGTGTATGTAGTGCAAGCAACTTAAATTAAGTAGGGCCAAGCAACAACGTTAATCTGGGGTCCTCCTGGTATGTTTAGATAATGTTAAGAGTTTTATATTTACACATATGCACAGAGTATAGAGTTATAGATATGTTTATGCGTCTTTCTAGCCTTCGGGGTCTCAATAAAAGATGGATTCATAGAGTTTATTATACTTTTTTAATTAACAGGAATACTCGTTAAACGGTTTACATTGTTTTATCAGAGGGTGTCGCTGTGGATCTCCTGACTGCACATGTAAACACCAGCTGTTTCACGCAGCTAGCTGCTCCGGCTTCATGCTGTCAAACAGGTTGCTTAGCCTGGTTAGCCATGCACACACTTTTGGGGTAGATTATTGTCTGTACACTCGTAAGATGGAGCTTGGCGACTTGTATGAGCTTATATGAAGATACGAAGATGTGACTTCAACTAGAGTGATGGACAAGGTATTTTATGAAAATGAATGCCACATTTGTTCTTTTCTTTTGCTAGCTAGTTAGCTAGAAAGCTAACGAATGTTAGTTTTTGCAGCTGAGCGTGAGCTAACTCTTAGCAAACTTTAACTGTTAGTTACACGAGTGAGATACTGCTAAGACAATGTGTGGTTTGAACACAATAATGAGCTAATAGTTCAGTTATACTGTAAGACATTTTCAACCCGGCGGTTACTATTGTGCAACATAAGCTGGATGTTCTGTAATCAAGTGGAGATGGATGCGTTTCGTTTTTAGTGCATTGTGAGTCCAAAATATCGATATAGCGGTTAGTCTTAAGCTAAATTTTTTTATGCAGATTCTACTCGAATTTGGAATTAATGGCGTGATTATCAAAGGTCAAACACCAACACGCTGTTTGGTGGCAGAAGAAAAAACTGTCATGTGCTTTGCTTTCCAGGACTTTGACCATAGACACCAGAGGGGGTCGAGGAAACCGCCTGCAGAGCCCCACACATCAGCATCAGCGCAACCTCTGATTCTACCAAACCCTTATACCTCCGATCAGTTTTCAAGAGGGTAGGAAGTTATAATTTTCAGGGGTATTTAATCATTTGGCTTTTCATCAGGTGCTCATGTTGTTACAATTTGTTAAGAAGCCCGTCAGGTCTGAGCCCAAAACCAGCAGGCAGAGGAGGAGATGCACCGAGGAGTCATGGCTACAGCAGCAGCCGCCCTGTTAGAGAGGCCAGTGATAACTTCCTACAGAGCAATAGGACCAAACAGGATCCCCAAGCTAAGGTTGGTTTTATTTTTATTTACAGAAACCTACATATAAACAAACTTTATTCATGAAGTAAATTGTTATTTTCTAATCTTCACAGATGCCTCAAAACAAAAAGGACTCTCAAGAAAAATTCATGGGCAAAACCTCAGTGGACATGCAGAAAAAAGGTAAGTGGCGTACATGGTATTAACTTAATTTGGGAATAATTTCTTGGTTCAGATGCTAGTTTTTGTATTGAATGTACAAACAAAATATTTTTAACATTGGAAATCATTTTGTGGTCAAGTGATTCCCAAATATCCCATGGGATTTGGTATCAAGCTTGCACGTATTACTGCCATATACAGGAGGGCAAAGCGACACGAATGATCGGCTAACTTGTGAGTTGCCCACACATTAAAGGCTTGGTTATTGCTTTAGTGACTTGGGCATGTTTGTGCACCAACCTTGTTGCTTTCTCATGTTACTCAAACTCCAAGTAACAACCTATGCAGATGACCCAGCAGATATTATTGTGAAAGCTGCCTGTCTTACAGCTTCACGTGGATTTGGAATGTCTGTGGCCTTTAGCCCAAGTGCATAAACCTCTGGCAGCAGTTTGGCAATATTAATATGGTGCCAAGAAAGCTAAAGGGGCACAGAGAGATTCTGAAAGAAGCTTGGCCTACTTTAAAGGAGCTCTACAGCTGAAGCTGCAAGACCATTTAATGGTTTGTGTGTAACGGTATCTTGCAAGATCTAGATGCTGCAGATAAACTGTAACTGTCTGAAATGCAATTAAAGAATGAACTGACAACATTCAGTTGAGATGATGTAGAGCAAAGGTGTCAATACAGTGAGAATTGCAGTAATTCTTGATGAGATTCTTTAGCATATTGTTGTCTTATAGATTTTGTTTGTTTGTTCAGTTTTGATGAACAGAATTGTAGTATGTTGGGCACAAAATGTTTAAAACCCGCTGCTTTATGTAAATATTTCTCCTTTAATATTTCATAATTCATTCCCAGGTTTTAAAGGTACAAGATCTGCCCCAACCTCTGCAGGGAAGCCAAAACCAGCACAGACAAATTCTGTCCCATTTGAAGTGAAGATGGCTGATTTTCCAGAATTGGGTGGTGTTTCAGTGGCCAAAGCAGCTCCTACTGTTCGGAAAGAGTGCTGGGACCCTCCATTCACAAGCTCCCAAACTCCAAAATTGGCATCTTCTTGGATGGTCAGCTCATGGGAATATCAAATGTTAAGCTATGTGACAGCTCTTGCACATTACAGAAAGCTATACTCATGATGTTGGTGCTGCTGTAATTTTTTGTTGCATAGTCTGGCAGCAGAGGATCTCCAACCCTACCTGGTCCCCAGGTGTGTGCCACTAATGCCAAGCCAGAAAGCCAAGTTATCCAAGCAGGTAGGCTCAGATTTACTCTAGTCTGTCTTTCAGCAATTTTAAGGCAGTTTTAAAAATATTTCACACGTTGATTATCTTTATTTGGTGTGTGTGCACAGTCCAACCGGTGGTGACGTCCTGGGCTAACATTGCCTCTCAGGCTCCGAAGAAACTTGATCCCAATGACAAGACAATCAGCTGTAACAGTATGCAGGTATGATGCATGTTTTAGATTCTCAACAGTTATACCAGATTCCTAGGCAATTGGCAAATCTTAACAATCCGTAAGTGAATTAATTATTTTCATGAGGTAAACCT